GATGAAGATATTGAGCGCTTCAGGTAAAACAAAGACAGGTATCCTTGCCTGGAAATCATTCAAACCAGCACCTTGAATTGCTCCAAGACAAGGGTCTCAAACTTGACACACCTGAAGACTTGTGGACTTCAGCTCCCAGAATTCCTCAGCTGGCCATGTTGTCTAGGGAATTTTGAGAGTTGAAGCCCATAACTCCAAGAATTCTGGAAATTGAAACCCATAAGTCCAAGAATTCTGGGAATTGAAGCCCACAAGTCCAAGAATTCTTGGAGTTGAAATCCACAAGTCCAAGAATTCTGAGAGTTGAACCCCAAAAGTCCAAGAATTCTGGGAGTTGAAGCCCACAAGTCCAAGAATTCTGGGAATTGAAGCCCACAAGTCCAAGAATTCTGGCAGTTGAAGCCCACAAGTCCAAGAATTCTGGCAGTTGAAGCCCACAAGTCCAAGAATTCTGGGAATTGAAGCCCACAAGTCCAAGAATTCTGAGTTGAAATCCACAAGTCCAAGAATTCTGAGAGTTGAACCCCAAAAGTCCAAGAATTCTGAGTTGAAGCCCACAAGTCCAAGAATTCTGGAAGTTGAAGCCCACAAGTCCAAGAATTCTGGGAGTTGAAGCCCACAAGCCCAAGAATTCTGGGAGTTAAAGCCCACAAGTCCAAGAATTCTGAGAGTTGAAGCCCACAAGTCCAAGAATTCTGGGAGTTGAAGCCCACAACTCCAAGAATTCTGGGAGTTGAAGCCCACAAGTCCAAGAATTCTGGGAGTTGAAGCCCACAAGTCCAAGAATTCTGGGAGTTGAAGCCCACAAGTCCAAGAATTCTGGGAGTTGAAGCCCACAAACCCAAGAATTCATCTATCATGTCACCCTTAGTCCTTCTCTTTGGCAGCTAGACATACCTCGCTCGCTCGACTGTTCATCATAACGATTTAGCCTCCAATACTCTGGAATAATTCCTGTTTGATTCCCAATGTAAAGTCTTAATTCGGAACGAATGCAAAAGTACATGCCTTTAGAGGAGTCCTGGATGCCAATTTAAAATGCTTTCCCCTCTTCTTTCTTTTTAACTCTGTTTTCAGAGAGGAGTTTGTAAAGATATGCAGAAAGGAGGTAAAAGTGCCTGCAATGACCATCATGAATGACATCTCTATTGCCAAGTCTGCACCGAATGAGAATACCGTTTCAAAATTGCAGGATTTCATGTTCAGCGAAGAGCTCTTCAGATACTGCACCTTACCTCAGGTGAAAACAGGACTATCCCAAAATCCTAAACCAGGAGTCTCCAACCTTAGCAACTTTAAGGCTTGTGGACTTCAACTCCCAGCATTCCTCCCAGAATTCCTAGGAATAATAATAATATGTAATAATAGATGTAATAATAATAATAATCTTTCATCATACATATCCCTAATCTTTTATCTTCTAATTTCTCCCTCTTTTATCCAACCACTGATCAAAATTCTGTTTCTTCCTCGTCTTTTATTTTTAATGTCAATCTATCCACTTCTGCACAGTCTAATCTTTCTCTAATTATATTTTCATCTGTTGAGTATCCTCATTATTCCAATATTGTGCAAATACAATTCTTGCTGCTGTCAGCCCGTGTAATTTTCAATCCCTTTATTATAGTTTCCTGGCATCATGTTATACCTTATAGAAACCAAACAACAATGTTTTGTTACGCCTAACCAAAATAATTCTGGTTTTGGGTCTATGTGTTGCTGTGTCATATTTTGTTCCTGTGTGGATGTATCCTACCTCTCCACACTTTATGTCGGGCTGCCATAAAAACGAAGCAGGGCTGAAGTGCAGTGATGGCAGATCGGACAATATTGCTGGCTATTTTCCTATCGCTTTCCCTTTTTTAATCATACGGTCCTCAGGATCTGTGGCGGGTTTAAATATCTCTTTCTTTTCTGAGCTGGTTTTCTTTCCTTTAGATCGTAAAATACGTCGAATGCTTCACCGGCCCCGACATCATGGCTATGCACACCATGTTGATCAATAAACCCCCCGATACAGGTGAGACCCCTACGAACTAAATCGAGACTTAAAAAAGAGCTGCTTCTGTTTGCGTATGTGAATTGCATCTCGGGGGTGGGGGAGAAAAAAATGCATTTTTCTTTTTTGACGTGAACAGCCGGAAAAAGGGCTGATTGCAAAGTGGATAAACCCCCAATCAGAATAGAAGCTTGAAGGGACCTTGGAGGACTTCTAGTCCAACCCCTTGCTCCAGCAGGAGCCCTCTCCTGTTTCAGACAGAGGGCTGTCCAGTCTCTTCTTAAAAACCTTCTTTTTTTGTAAGTAAGTAAGTAAGGGAAGGAAGGAAGGGAAGGAAGGAAGGAAGAAAAAGAAGGAAGGAAGGAAAGGAAGGGAGGAAGGAAAGGAAGGAAAGAAGGAAAGGAAGGAGGGAAGGAGGGAAGGAAGGAAGGAAGGAACGAACGAAGGAAAGGAAGGAAGGAAGGAAAGAAGGAAGGAATAAAAGAGTTGGAAGGGACCTTGGAGTCTTCCAGTCCGACCCACACAGTCCTCCTTCTCCTCTCTGCAAACCTCCCTCCCTTCCTAACACTGATAACATTCCCTCGCTGGGTCATGAAACGCCTGCAAGAAAACCACCCAGCCCAGAGAGCACCAGGAGCCCCTCACGTCAACCCCGAGCTGGCAATAATTCCCCTTTATTACTCGTGTCAATCCCTCTCCCTGAGACCGAGGGAATTCTGCTTCCTTCCAGGCAAGAAAACCTCTCGCCATCCATTGCATCAGGATCTCCATTACTTCCCCTTCCGGCCTGCTGACCGAATCGTCTGCGCCTGGACCGCAATGGAAAAGGTGGATCGGTCAAACGGATGCCTAGTTGTGTTGCCAGGGACTCACAAGGGCTGCCTGAAGGAGCACAAGTACCCGGAGTGGGAGGTAAACGACGGAGAGGCCTGCATGTGTCCAATGAATGAATGAATGAATGAATGAATGAATGAATGAATGACTTCTTTATTGGCCAAGTGTGATGGGACACCCAAGGAATTTGTCTTGGTGCAAATGCTCTCAGTGTCCATAAAAGAAAAGAGTCAAGAGTCAAGAATCATCAGGTTGAACACTTAATGATAGTCATAGGGTACAATAAGCAATCAAATCATACCAGGAAACAGTCAATATAAATCGTAAGGATACAACCGACAAAGTTACAGTCACACAGTCACAAGTGAGTGTTCTGACCCAAGCCTTGTTCAAATCAAACAAAGTATAAAAGCAAACCTTTTTAATGTGGTGCTGTGAATTCTGTGCATTCACAGCCAAGAGTCATTCAAAACTAATTGTCCCAGATAAGAACAAACCCTTTCAAGGTTGCGAAAGGCTGCCAAGAACCAAACACTAAGTGCAGATAAATATCCAAAGCCAGAAGTTAATAAAACAAACTGAAGTAAGCAGGGCTTCAATGCGGACTCTGAATAGAAAGAAGTTCTTTGCTTCCTGCCAAGAAGACAACCCCGAAGGCTGGCTTTTATCCCTTATGGGAGGGGCCATTACCTTCCAAACTTACTCCAGAATCACCTGTGCTGCTGCAGCTGCTCTTTCCTTCAAGCAGCCCTGTGTGCACACGCGCTAGGCACAGGCTCCTCGGGTTGCTCTTCCTCACTGCTCTCCGAGACCTCAGCCGTCCGCACCTGCTGCTTGCAAACCACAACAGTGGGAGGGGATGAGCAATAAGGAGTGATGAGAAGATTAACAGTAATAGTAATGCAGACTTTGTAAATAGTTGAACAGTGTTGAGGGGATTATTTGTTTAGTGGAGTGATGGCATTCAGGGAAAAACTCCCCTTGTGTCTAGTTGTTCTGGTGTGCAGGGCTCTATAGCGTCATTTTGAGGGAAGGAGTTGAAACAGTTTATGTCTGGGATGTGAGGGGTCTGTAGATATTTTCACAGCCCTCTTTTGGACTCAGGATACAGGTCCTCCATGGAAGGCAGGTGGGTAGTAATTGTTTTTTCTGCAGTCCTAATCACTCTCTGGAGTCTGTCTGTCCTTTTGGGTTGCAGAACCGAACCAGACAGTGATAGAGGTCCAACAGAGAAAAATGATTGCTGTCAAAAAGTTACGGTACAGGCAGTCCTCGACTTATGACCAATCAAATCACTTAGCGACCAAGCTAAAAAATCCAGGAAGTTGCCACCTGGATTTGAAGTTATGACGGTCACCCCACCCACTGCAGTTATGCGACTGCCCTCCAGATGTTGGCCATACGGCTACATTTACAGTCGTACAACCCTGTTTTATGACGGTTTCGCCAGAAAGCAGATTCCAGGTTTGGGCAAAAGTGTGTTCAAAGGGAAGGGTCGCTTCCCACTTACGACCAGTAGTTTTGCTTAAGGACCAATGCAAAAAATGCCGCGTGAATGACCCGTCTTGTGACCATCACAGGCAAGCTTCCTTACGGTTGTATCTGAAGGACTGTCTCAAAGACTAATACAGGCAGTGCTCAATGTACAACCACCAATGAGCCCAACGCTTCTGCTGTTAAGTGAGACATTCATTAATTGAGTTTTCCTCCGTTTTACGATCTTTCTTGCCCCAGTTGTTAAATGAATCCCTGCCATTGTTAAGTGAGTAACACAGTTGTTCCCCTGCTGATTTTGCTTGTCAGAAGGTCAAAAAAGGGGATCACGGGACCCATGGGAAACTGCGACCGTCATAACTATGAGTCAGCTGCCAAGCGCCTGAATTTTAACCCCGTGACCCTGGGGCTTACACAGGTCGTAAATGTGAGAAATGACCCTGGGTCCCTTTTTTCGTTGCCGTTGTAACTTCCAAACGGTTAGTAAATGAACTCTTGTAAGACGGGGTCTAAGTGCTCCATATATTTTCAGAGTTTCTCAACTTGGCAATTGTAAAATTTGTGTGTGGACTTCAACTCCCAGAATACATGCTGTCTGGGAGTATTCTGGGAGTTGAAGTCCACTTATCTCAAAGTTGCCAAGGTTGACTCACCCTGATGTAGGTGGCCAAGAGGTGGTAGATCTTCCTTCTCCAAAACACAACCACCACCTCCTCCTCCTCCTCCTCCTCCTCCTCCTCC